CGGAGCTGCACTTCCACATTTCTGAATTCTGCCTTTTTCGTTCCGTCAACATTACGCTGTCAATTAACCTCTAAGTATCGATTATTGACATTTGTGAATCGATTCAGAATCATCCAAGTCTGCATCGCGAGGCATCAATTATTTTCCACATCCCTAGTACTTGTAATATTTCTACTGATACCCTTACTAACCACCTTTGCTAATCCTACTGCTTGCACCTGCACTTCTACAGTATTCTGACTGCTAATCCTACTACTTCAACAACTTCTTCCACTCCTGCTACTCCACTTGAATCTAGTTTCCTGCCAGTGATTTTTCATAACTTTCTTGCAGCTTCCTCAAGAAGAAAGAAAGAAATCCTTCACCTCTGAACACCATCTGGTGTAACGAGCGTCTCTCAGTGTGAAATATGAGACCCGGCTTCACTTTGAATGAGGCTCCCATCCACAGAACAGTCATTCGTTTCCCTACTTTAATTAAATACAACATGATTTTTCCCACAACTTCTCGTCAAGTGCGATGCTCCTAAACCGGCCGGCTTTGATGTGGATGTGAGGAAGTGGATCTGATGGGAAATTAAGTCAAAATGTGAAATGATCTCCAGCAGTGAGGAGTGTCACACAGAGCCAATGTGATAATTGACAAGACCTGGGGCTTTGATGTGTTAAAGGATGCGTACGGCCAAAGAACATACATGCAATATGCTATTTCCCACACTGATATTTATAAAAGAAGAATGTGCAGCGAGAATACACGACCGCACGCAGACCAGCGTACACACACACGCACACACACAGTTTTCTAGAGATTCCTGCAGGTGAAATGATGAGGAGGAGATTTACTATGAGGTGAGAAATGTGACAGTTAAAAAGTTAAACATAGTTTGGGTTGCAGAGATGCTATTTCTAATAGTTATAGTGGATGGGCAGATTTTGATATTTCATCATGTGGGAAGGAAAAAATCTGGGGAATTGAACCTCGAGGAGAACAGCGGGGAGCGGGGCAGAGAAATCAAAAGGATTGGCAAGCATGCGACGCATATTTAATCATTTATCAGAATCAGATCATTTAAATCTCATATATCAGAGGTTTTCAAAGTGGGAGGCAGGGGGGATCCGAACAGTTTCAGGGTAGGTGAAAAAAATAGTACATTAATTATCAAAAGAAGATCACATAGAATATCCTAAATGTGTGTGATTGTGATTTGTAGTTTGTGGGATCTTTACTGTCTTTCCCACTCTCAGAAACTAAGTTTTAGGAGATACATTTTTATGTCTTTGGTGTAGTCTGAGTTAGGCTATCTGGCTATTAAGCTATCTTCAGTTGTTTAGGGCATCAGATAACATCACATGATCCTTTAGGCATCTACGACTTGAGCAAAACTAACCAAGTCTTTGAAAACCCCTGACATATATATCAGTTATAGGAGATTAGTGTGTTTTCTTTCCAGATTTGCTTGCAGCTGTAGACCAGTTGTTCTGTCCCAAATCCACCTCAACCCTGTTAAGCTTACATACTGGGATAAGCGAGGTTAGATTTTTACTTTGATGTTTCATGTAACAACAGAAAAGACGAGGACTAAGTGACTAACATCGGCTTGAGTACCTATAGAGTGTTAATGAGCGGCGAGGGAATGGCTGAAGCTGGAGTGCAGGAAATCTGTGCAAGAAACGTCTTATTTCTGAGTACAAGGACACAGTTTGAGTAGAAGCAAAGCAGCAGTCTGAGTGCAAGCGGGGTCTTTTTTTGAGTGCATGGGCAAGGTTGTGAGGGAAAGCATTACAAAATCTTAACATGAAATCAACAAGTCATGCTCTCAAATTCAAAGACAACACTGTTATGTAAAGTCTTAGAAAATAATCCCATAGATAACTTTTCCAAATCCAAAAAAGAGCAGGAGAGAGCTGCTAACATTAGCCTAAACTCCAACACTAAACTTACAGAAGTTACGTAGCTCCTAACCAAGTAGTTCTGATGCCAGAAAGGCTTTTAATTCCTGGTCTAGTTTTCACCCCACAATGTTATAATCAGACATCACATGCAGCGAACAGCAGGCAAGTTTTCTCACGACTATTACTTTTGATCTCGGTGTAAAGGTGTCTTTGCCTCGGCTGCTCCCGAGGCATGAATATCATTAGAATAAAGTCAGCAGCAATTAGCTTCTCACATGTCGTTACAAAGCCTCGGGAAGATAAGGAGAAAAGCGCACATGCCTAGAAAAGCACAACGCAGATGTTAAACTCGCCCTAAATCCTTTGAATAATCATAAAGAGACGGAAGATCTCTGTGACGTATCATCCCACTAGTGGAAATAAAGGAACCCATGTGAGCTAATCTTTTCCTCCACATGAAGTCAGTGATTAAATGGGAGCAGGATGTTTAACTGAATGGAGGTGACACGAAAGGCACAAAAAAACACAACAACAACTCAGTTAGTTTTGGGTTAAATTGGTTGTTTTTTGCATCCGTGCACGTTTTGGACGCTTGTGTTCGTGGGAGGAGGGGTGACGACCTTTACCTAACTGCGACATGGCCCTTCAAAAAGTCTATGCACGGCCCTGCATCTCAAAGAGCCAAAACCAGATTAACCTCAATTGCAGGTCAGGTAGAGGAACGGGAGGCAAAATTAAACCAAATGTACTTTTCTAACTTCTACATTAAGTGTAAAACTCTATTTGTGTGACCAAAGTCTATTCTTTGACATATCTTGTTAAAACCAGTGGTGGGTAAAGTATTCAGATCCTTTACTTAAGTAAAAGCACTGCCTCACTGTAAAAATACACCGTTACAAGGACAAGTACTGCATTGAAAATGCTACTAAGGGAAATGTATGTAAATATAATCAGGAAAATGTACTTAAAATATTAAAAGTATAAGTACTCATTGCAGAATGAAAAAGTCCCTTGTTACTATTATATCATTAGATTATATTGACTCATGCATTAATGTGAAAGCAGGATTTTACTGCTCTAGTTTTTGAGGTTAAACTATTTTGTATCAGGCTGCAATGAATGATTATTTTCATTCTGGATTCATCTGTTAAATATTTTCTCTATTAACTGAGGGTAAACATTTTGAAAATATACACCATCACAGTGCTTGTTTAGTCAGTCCAAACCTCAAAATTATTTAAAAAAAACATTAAAATAATCAAAAGGAAAAGCAGCAATTTGTGATGCTGAAACCACAAAATGTCTTTACATAAAAAAATGTCTTCAATGATGACTATATAAACTGTTGAGTAGTTTAATTTATAACAAAACATCATATTTTTTAAACTCTTGATATTTTTTGCGTATAAAAATCTTGATTTGTAAAGTAACTAGACGTGGCATGAAAAGAAAATACTCAAGTACAAATACCTCTAATTTGTACTTAAGTACAGTACTTGAGATTTAAATATGACTTAAATATACTTAGTTACTGTCCATCCAGGTTGGAGAATAGATGTCCAAGTCTTGGTAATAGTCTGGGTTCATTTTGCCCTCTCAATAGAGATATAACGTATCTTAAATATTGTAATTATATAATATATATAGTGAATTAATATCCATATGGTCTTGAAACTGTGACAAAATCAGATTTGAAATGCTCTTAACACTCACTGAGCACTTTGTCTCGAGCACCATTTTTACAGGTCAGTCTGCCCCTAAATGGCTTTGTTACCCTGCACAAAGACACACACAAACACACACACACACACACAAATGAATAAAATATAAACCCTTACAGAGCAGTCATTGAAGTGAATGACTGCCCCTCTGGATTTCACCATGATATTTTAAAAAGGTGGGAGCTCCTCGTTTCTTTTTTGAGACTTCTTAAGTTGGTTTGAAAAATTCATAAGACGCCAGCAGTGCGATGAGCCAGTTCTGATTGATGGGATAAGGCTAATTACTGAGAGACAGTGTGTGCATGTATGTACATATATATATATATATATATATATATATATATATATATGTGTGTGTGTGTGTGTGGGGAGAGGAAGGTGTTGTGCTTCCCAGCTTAAAAGAGTTGTGAATCCGGCCCACCGACTGAGGATTAAAGACAGACCAGATGAAGATAAATAACGACAAATAGACAGA